AAATTAGAGACGAAAGTATTTTGTCATAAATATAAGAAATAGAGATGAAATACTTTTGTCACGTTTAATATAAATGAAGACGAAAATTTTTTTTGTCAAAGAAGCTACCAATAGAGACAAAATAAATTCATCATTAAAAATGATGAAATAATGTCAAAAAAAAATCGTCACACATTGAGGGTAATAGTGACAAAATGTGACAATATTTTTTGTAATAACAAATTTATTTAGCGACGAAATAAAGAATTTATGACAAAATTAATCATCCACCTATGCCAAATAAGAGACAAAAAAACCTTCTTTAGGGATGGAAAATTTTGTCAATAATTTCATAATATTTTTTTCCACATTATATACCTATTTTATCAAAATCTAAATTTTAGTTCAACAAATATGACCCTGTTCATGTTGAAACTTGTTGAATATAACAATTCCATCACAACTTAACCTAACCTGGTATCAACACATTTACAAATTAACAAAATGAAAATATACATTCATTATTACAAATAATTTCATCCTGATATAATAAAATAGTGAAATATCCACAAAATATCCAAAAGTTATAACTTGTTCAATTCCACCAAAAATCCAACAATAACTAGTGTAACTGTATGTGTATCCTTATCAAACAAAAATGAACATTCAAACAAATTACATCATTGTTGCACGTCAAAAATGCCACCCCAATCCAATCTGCAAAAAAATAAATTAAAAGTTTTAGTAATAAATCAATTATACAAAAGATTAAAAACATTAGTAACTCATCAATTTACAATTAGATCAATTATACAATTTATCCCTGTAACAGACTTTTTTTTAGATTATGAGAACAAAAAATTAATTTTAAGGCTAATTCACAAATGGTGCATCCCATTAACGTGCCGTAAGTTCATACAACTTATATTGGTCCCTCCTAAGGTGTTTCTATTGGTTCTTGTACAAATCTGTAATTGTGTGATAATTTAGCATTTCGACAGCCTTTTTTCAAGCTTTAAGTATAGAGAAAAATATATATTTTTTAGACTAATTCACAATTTATACATCATGTGCACCTGTACAAATTGGATGTCATATGCATGTTTCCATTACTTCCTAAATCTTCAAACATGTATTCTTTTATAAAATTTGTTATATTAAAGTTAATATACTTTACCAAGAAGTATGTCCACTTGTGGATGAGTTCCCTCCACTTCCAAAGTGTCTAGTGAATCCTTTGGTCCTCAAAAAGTTGACAACATCAGCCATTATCTCCCCCTTGCTTCTTCTTACCCTCTTCAAGATCTTCTATTTTATTGTTCTGCATTTGTATTTGTTCCTTTTGTGTCTCTATTTGCATCTCAAGGCGCTTCACATAATCATTTGTTTCAGCATATATGGTAGTGGCTCTCCTAATAGAGGATGAAGGTCTCATGCCAAGTCCCTTCATATAGCCAGACCTTGGCTTTAGGACTTTGATTGATAGCTCTTCTGCAGTCAAAGGGGTTGATCCCGACTGTAAGAGGTGATCAGCCTGTGTCTATATCATATTTTCCTATCAAATATAAAAAAAATTAAATGATTATTAGAAAATTAACTAAGATTACAACAAATAGTATTCTAAAAATTTGTTAATAAAAATTACAATATATACTCACATAATTACACTGAGCTTGAGATGAGATCCACTCATGTGTTTTCTCATTATAGTGAGTTTCCTTGTACAACTCTGCTAGATCAGGTAGCATCTTCTTTTCCCGTGCCTAATTTGATAGACCAAATATTCAATAAATAAAGATAAGAATCTAATATAATTCTGAAAGTGCAAGGATATGTACCAGTTTTTCTACTCTAACAGGGATTGACCTAGAACCACACCTATGTTTTGTATACATCCTTTCTCTATTCGAGATGTTGGCCTTTGATTGTTCCTATAAGGAAGAATGACCAATATAACAATGAAATGTATCATTAGTAAGACAAATATGTTGGCTTTTGATTGTTCCTGTAAGGAATAATGAACCAATATAACAATGAAATGTATCACTAGTAAAGCAAATTTAATGGTTGATAATAAAGAAATTGCATTGTTCCTCTCTATCATTTTCCTATATATCATTTCAACTTAAAAGATATTTCAAATTATTCACTAGTTTCATTCAATTCTGTGAAAAATAGATTAGAGGACTTGTTGAGATTTCATCATAAGATGATTTTTTTGGGTGAAAAAAGAAAAACGAATAATTTACACTGTTCACAAAAAGGGGGCATATAAGCATGGAAAATATAGATTGTGAAAAAATCCATTTACATTTCACAAGATATGGAACAATTACTGATACCAAACTCATAACCCTTTCTTTCTTCCGCAACTCTATCAAATCTAAAGTTCTGTCTCAATACCCTATATTAGTTACTTAGCTAGTTGCTTACCATTATCATGAAACTTCAGACCAAACCCAAGAACAAACAGAAAATTAATACAATCATAGAAACTGAAATCTTAGTTCTTTAGTCTATGATGTGAAAGATGCACTTTAACGAACCATAAATTAATCTCCTATTATGCGAGCCTTCCAATCCATGTTTAATAATTTCCCTTTCCCATTTTCCCACTTATTTGGTCTTTATTATGTTCCACTTACATGCCTAGAAGATAAAGGGAAAAGAAGACATGGAATTTCACAGCAAATTGATTGTGTTCTTTCTAGTTGTTTTAGAATCTCTCCCTATTCTAATCAAATTCTTTCTTCGCTAATATAATAAAAAAGATGAAAATGTTACCAGAAATTCTTTAGTGTTCCACTTTTTATCAATAAGATCTATCCACTTGGTAGGATCGACATTCTTTGGTGGGTGGTTTCTTGCATACTCCTCCCCTTTAGCCTCCTTCAGCTCCATGAATTGTTTGTGCAGCCTATAGGTATGGTTACTCAATCTCCGACCAAATTTTGTGTTCATTGCCTTCTCTATATCAACAGGGTCTCCTTGTAAATCAAATTGATCCTGCAAAAAATAGATAAGTCATAGATAATTCTTATAAAAAATAAAATAATTACAATAAATAATTAAGATTTCTAACCTATTATAAAAATGAGTAAAATCTCCTATAAGTAGACAACGAACTTACATTCAAGCGTTGAAACATCGCCTCCTTAACGGAGGCATCAACATACTTCCACCTACGAACACTTGGATCTGGTAAACGAGTTCGCACTTCTACACCAATCTTTGAGGCTAGTTTTGAGGCATAGTCCCCTACTGGTGCACGAAATTCTGGAGGGATAGGCACACTAAGCTTTCCATCTCTATCAACAACGCCTTGAACCTCTTTGCCTCGAGTCGGGCCACGAGCACGCTTAGCAGCTGATATTGTGAAGCCATAATATTGAAATAGTATGTGAACAAATTTAATTAAGATCTCAAATCAATGTAAATAAAGAGTGTGTCTTACCAATAGTATTACCAGCAGTCACCTCAAGTTGAAGCTCCACATTGAGAGGTGGTGGCGGATTGCTAGTCACCTCAGGACGTGAAGAGGTATCCCCCTCTTCTAATGCGTGGGTCAATGCCTCATGATGAGATTGTGAGCGGGCTCTCGATGGTATCTCTAACAACTGAATAACATAATAAAATATGAATATATGTACAAACATATACATGTCTATGTGTGTATGAATTGAAAGTAACTAGAAAGAATATATTTCACAATGCATAAATGTATAGTACCTCATGCTCAAGCAAATCATAGGATTCAGTGTCACTGCCATCTTCAGCCTCTGACGGTCGATAATCATCATCATTTTCCTCAATTGGTATTTGTTTTTCCTTCCTCAATTTCTTATGTTGAACCGTAGCCTTCAAACAAGTTGTTATATTCTTTACTCCTAGAGCATTCATTCTCTCACGGTTTTTATTAATATTCTTCATTCTTTGTTTCTCATAGTTCGTTACCTTCTTAGTTGCGGTACTTGGTTTGGTCAATTGCTTTTTTGTAGCGTCCATTTTGCCTAACTACAAAGCATAATTGAACATTTTTTTGGTGGATACGCATAATTGAACATTAGATATAAAGAAAACATAATTATATATTTCTATACATAAAGCATAAAGCAACAACAATCTCAACAAGTGGATATGTCATATAGGCTCTAAATCATTGAAATATGGCTAGAGTGATATGGATGATTTTTGTTTTTACCATTTACTTATCATAGAACAAATTAATTACAAAGCCATCAGACACACAATATGACCAATCAATGATAAACCTACATAACAATGGATGAACCCCACAACTGAAATTCAAATACATTAATTAAGAACAATGTTCGTATAGAAAGTGCAAAATAACTACAAATCCTAGTCTACATCAAGATCCATATCGTAATCCACATCAGGTTCGTCACACTCTTCATTTTGTTTGTCAGCTCTATTCTCTATCATTGTTTCATCAGATGACCTAACCCTTGTAACAACTTCTGCTTCAACACCATCTCTATAACATTGAACATTAGGGCCGATGTCAATTGGAACAACATCGGTAATATTTTCTTGTTGGAACACATCGTTTTCTTCTGGTTCATGTAATGATTCTCCATCACCTACCTCTGGTACATCAAAGACACCCCTATGTTGCACTCGTTGAACGACTTGCCAAGGTTGTCCCCATTTGGTATCATTTAGGTAAAAGACTTGCTTAGCCTGGCTAGGCAAGATAAAAGGGTCGTGTTGATACCACCGACTTGTGACATCAATACTTGTGCAATAATCATCAGTTCGCAATGTTCTACTTCGACCTGTATTTCCTGTGTTGTACCATTCACACTGGAACAATACAACTTTGTTATGACACATGTACTCCAATTCCCAAACATTGCACAAGTGACCATAAAATTCATGCGTCACTCCCTCATGATCCCCTTCCGTAAGCACACCACTATTCTGACTCTTACTGCGATTGTCTACTTCTCTTGTACGAAACCGTACGCCATTGATTATGCAACCTGAGTACTCTTTTACTAGTCACTGGTAAATTAGGACCATTTGCTAATGACCACAATTCATCGGTTACCCCTAATGACTCTGCAACTCTCAAACTATTTATGTACAATTACATGTAACAAACAATAAGTAAATAATTTATAAATGACGAAATTTTTATAAAACTTTAATTTTGTTTAAATTGTAAATGTCGAAAAATTATAAATGTTTTACCCTTTCTTTGAACCACTTGGGAAACTCTTGTTGTTGTATACGGGTTATGCCTTGGTCAGATGGAGTCCGTAATAAATTTTTGCGTATCCTACTCAAAAGAATGTGATTATTATGCACTGCTAACTACATTAACAAAGCTAAGAATACACATATTTAAATGAAAAACATACTCTAGATACTTCTCTATCTCGGGGCTATTGTTCAACAAGAACCAATGAGCCATATCACGATATTCTTGTGACATATCAGCATCCCTTATGATTAGGCCAATAAGACGGGCAGTTTCTGTGAATACAGTTAACCCTTTGCGACGTTCGCCACGATCTTGATTTCGTTCGAGTCGATTATGCACTGTTTCGATCCCATCAACATACATTGAACAAAAAGTAATGCACTCTTTGACAATGTAAGCCTCTGCGATTGAACCTTCTGGTCGAGCTCGGTTTGTAACAAACTTTTTTAAAGCTCCGAGAAACCTTGAAAAGAGAATTAGTTAAGAGCAAGGTTACACATGCAACATATAATTACGAACCTTTCAATTTAACAATTACCTTTCAATCCGGTACATCCATCGATATTGCACCGGTCCTCCAAGAATAGCCTCACGCGGCAAGTGAACGGCCAAGTGAACCATCACATCAAAGAAGGCTGGAGGAAAGATCTTTTCAAGCTTGCATAATATGTGTACTATACGTTCCTCTAATTTCTCAAGTTCATTACAGCGCAGTGTCCTTGAGCACAAATCCTGGAAAAAGCTACCTAACTCAAATAGTGTTTTACTAATCTCTTTGTCTACGTAACCACGCATCCCAATTGGAAGAATCCGTTGTATGAGTACATGGCAGTCATGACTTTTCAAGCCTGTTAATTTACCATTTCTCGCATTCACTGATCTTGATATGTTTGCAGCATAGCCATCCAGATACTTCACTGATTTCAAGAATTCAAAGAAACCCTCCCTCTCTTCAGGGGTCAATGAAAAGATTGCCCTAGGTTTGACATAAGTTCCATCAGGACGACGTGTTAACCACAACTCTTTCCTTATACCCATATCTTCCAAGCCCATCCGTGCTTTGTCGGTGTCTTTGTTCTTTCCATCAATGCCTAACATAGTTCCAAAGGTATTTTCACTAAAATTCTTCTCGACGTGCATAACATCAATGTTGTGACGAAGCTTCCGTTTCTTCCAGTATGGTAACTCATACAAGATGCTTACCTTTGTCCAATTTGGTGCCTGACGGAGTCTTTTCTTATTTCTTGGATGCTTCCCATATGTGACACCTGTCACTCTATCCAATTGCTCTAATATCTTTTCCACTGGTAACTTTAAAGATCTCTTTCGCTTCTCATGCTTACCATTGTAAGCCTTACTCTTTCGCCTTTCGGGGTGGTTTTGAGGCAAGTAGCATCGATGGTTAGTGTATGCAGTCTTACCTTTCAAGGATTGAAAATATGGTTCATCATTGCAAGTGTAGCAAGAATAATGACCCTTTGTTCTCCACCCAGATATGTCACCAAATGCGGGCCAATCGTGTATAGTCCACATCAAAGCTGCACGCATCTGGAAAGACTCACCAGTTACGGCATCGTAAGATAATGCACCATTTTCCCACAACTCATTCAACTCATCCACCAGAGGTCTCATGTAGACATCAATATCGATCCCTGGTTGTGATTCTCCAGGAATAAGTAGTGACATCATAAGAAAGGGATCTTTCATAACCAACCAAGGTGGCAAGTTATAAGGAATGAGTACTACAGGCCATAAACTATACGAGTTGCTCATGTTCCCGAAAGGATTGAACCCATCAACAGCCAACCCTAGCCTCACATTTCGAGGCTCCAGGGCAAACTGAGGATGTTGCACATCAAATTCCTTCCATTCATCACTATCGGCGGGATGTCTCAATACTCCGTCATCTATACGTTTCTCCTTGTGCCATCTCATGTCCTCAGCAGTCTTTCTTGACATGTACAATCTTTTCAACCTTGGTGTTAATGGGAAGTACCGCAACACCTTATGGGGAATCTTCTTACCCCTACCACGATTGATCTTGTATCTGGATGCCTTACATTTTGGACATTTATCTAACCTTGCATTTTCCTTCCAAAAGAGTACACAATCATTTATACAAGCATCAATTAACTCATATGACAAGCCCAAATCACGAAGTATTTTCTTAGCTTCATAAAATGACTTTGGAACCAAATTATCTTTTGGTAAAAGTTTTGTTAAAAACTCCAATAGTGTGTTAACCGACTTATTGCTCCAGTGGTTTGTTACCTTCATATTAAGCAACTCGATGACAAACTTCAACAGAGTGTAGTTTGTGCAACCTAAGTACACCTCACGTTTGGCATCATTCAATAGTTTATCAAACGTTTGTACTTCCTCATTCTGGGGTGCATCGTTGGGTTCTCCTCTTATTCGATCTTCCACTAAGGCATCAATACCACCTAAAACCTCATCTTCATCAATTGCCATTTCATGATGAGCCTCATTTGATACACGTGGTTCCCCGTGCTCATGCCAAATAGTGTACGTTTGCATAATCCCATATTGAAGCAAATGAATTTGCACATTTCGAAGATTTTGGGAATAATAGTTCACACAGTTCAAACTGGGTGGTGGTGGCAGAAGACGGTGGTGGAATAAAGGAGTATTTATAATTTTTTAAATTATAAAAAATAATCTGTATTTTAAACAAATTTTAAGGGGGTATTTATAATTTGTCCAAATATTATACTGACATGATAGGGGGGATTGGGTTTGAATTGGTTGATTCTAGTCTTTGTTTGGAAAGACGGGTGGATTAAAAGAGTTTACTAAAAGATAAAATAAGTTAAAATAACTAATAAGACAAAATATCACATGTAATTCATAATTATTTTATTTTTTTCTCATAACCATCAAATCAACTATAAAAAAAAAACCAATCAGTTTCTTAAAATAACTATTTTAGTCAGGCTAAAATAGTTAAAAAGTTAAAAAAATCAACTAAAATAGTCAATTTTTCAAACAAGACCTCAATAATAAACAATTGACATTAGATGTAAATTTAAGAGTGATATTTTAAGGTTCTTAAATATTTTCTAATTCTAGTTTTTATATTCATTATTCCCATTTATTAGTTATTTCCCAAGTAACAACTCCACCCATGAATAGCTGAGTAGCAAAAAGTCCGTTTTGAAATAAATTGTAAGTTTAAACATTCAGGGTGTGTTTGGTAACGTTTACGTTTATTTCAAGTGGCTTCCTCCACTCCGTGATGTTTCCACAAAACCTTCACCAAAGGAATGGTCTTGCCACGCAGGACTTGATCCCGCCTATCCAAGATCCGAATCGGAATCTCCTCATACGAGGCGTCCTCATCCACCTACAAGTCGGTCCAATCTAACACATGGAACGGATCCGACTCATACTTCCAAAGCATACTCACATGAAACACGTCATGCACTCCGGACAATTGCGGCAGTAAGGCTAGACGATAAGCAACCTCGCCAACCCTCTCAAGGATCTCAAAGGGACCAATAAACCGAGGGGATAACTTCTCACTCTTCCCGAACCTCATCAAACCTCGCCTAGGTGATATTTTCAAGAAGACATGATCACCTACCTCAAACGCCAAAGGCCTCCTCATACGGTCAGCATAACTCTTTTGGCGACTCTAGGCTGTAACAAGCCTCCTACGGATAAGCTCAACTTTCTCCGTCGTCTCCCTAACCAACTCCGGACCCAACAAAGGTGCATCACCCACCTCGGCCCAACATACTGGAGACCTACACGGTCGGCCATACAAGGCCTCAAACGGTGCCATACCGATGCTAGACTGAAAACTGTTGTTGTAGGCAAACTCCACCAAGGGCAAGTGCCTCTCCTACGTCCCACTAAAGTCAAAGACACAACCTCGAAACATATCCTCAAGGATCTGAATAGTACACTCGGACTGCCCGTCAGTCTGAGGGTGATAAGCTGTACTAAACGTCAACTTAGTGCCCAAGGCACTCTGCAAACTCTACCACAACCTATCAGTAAAACGAGGATGCCTATCTGAGACGATCGTCACTGGGACCCCGTGCAATCTCACTACGTCCCGAATATACAAGTCGGCAAGATGATCCACCGAATCTCTCACGCGCATAGGAATGAAGTGCGCCGACTTAGTCAACCGGTCTACAACCACCCAAATAGCATCACTACCCCGCTGAGTCCTCGGAAGACCTACAACGAAGTCCATAGTGACATGCTCCCACTTACTAACTTTGGTAGGCAAGGGTTGCAACAAACCCGCTGGCATCTGATACTCGGCCTTCACTTGTTGACAAGTAAGGCACTTAGACACAAAAACTGCCACATCTTTCTTCATACCCCGCCACCAAAGAACTGGCGACCAATCCCGATACATTTAAGTGCCTACCGGATACACCGCAAGACGTGAATGATGGAACTCTCGGAGTACTTCCTCTCGGCAAGACTCCGACACAAACAGACGGTCTCGGTATCTCACACTCAGGTCGGGATACACCGTCAAATCCTTCTCAACCTTCTCATTTGAGATCTTCTCTCGGAGGGATTCTACCTCAAGGTCACCACTCTGTGCCTCTAACACTCGGGTCACAAGTGTAGGCTGCGCAACAACAGAAAACAAGGCCGCTGCCTCAGCTGATTCACTCAGAAGCAAGTCAAACTCGCCAAGTGCACCCAACATCTCCCATTCCCGGATGGCTATACAAGCTACATCACTAATGGATTTCCTACTAAGGGCATCGGCCACTACGTTGGCCTTTCCCGGGTGATAATGCAACTCAAAATCATAGTCCTCAATGAACTCCATCCATCTCCTCTGCCTCAAATTCAAGTCTCTCTGTGTAAACAGGTACTTCAAACTCTTGTGGTCCGAGAACACCTCGAACCTCTCACCATAAAGGTAGTGCCTCCAAATCTTCAAGGCAAAGATCACTGCTGCTAACTCTAGGTCATGTGTAGGGTAGTTCTTCTCGTGTATTTTCAACTGACATGAGCCATAAGCTACCACTTTCCCCTCTTGCATCAACACACAACCCAAACCCTCTCGTGAGGCATCATAATAAACCGCATAACCCAACCCTCTCTCCGGAAAAATCAAAACTAGAGCGGTGGTCAATCTAACCTTCAACTCTTGGAACGACTTTTCGTAAGTCTCACTCCACACAAACTTGACCCCTTTTCGCGTCAATCTAGTCAACGGCGAAGCTAGCCTGGAGAAATCTTTCACAAACCGACGGCAATACCCAACTAATCCCAGAAAGCTGCACTGAATACTGCCGGCCGGCAATAAATTCCTGCAGAACCTGCAACTTACAGCAGCAGAGGGCAAAATCTTGCATGGCAATGCAATTCAAGCGATTTATGCACCCATCACATTCCTTATCATGTTAATGACTCAAAGGAGGATGTGCCCCGATTCTCGGACCACCAATCACGCATTTCCATGCATGATGGCCCAAAGAATCAAGTGTGCAACTTCAATTTCAAAATGCATGCAAACCAAATAAACACACAAGGAGGCCTAACCTCTATCATACTCATCTCAAGAGGCAAGGTGATGCATGCAAGATGCAATGAAACTTAGGCATACGAGCTAAGGATGCAACATGCCGATACAAGCAAACATGCAAGATGATGCATGCAAATAAGCCAAGGACGGTCTTAAACATGAATTAGGCAGCTCTAGTTAGACCCAAAACAGTGGCCAATGGAAGAAGATGAAGTGCCTCGAAATGCGTGCGCACGGGCACGCAAACCGAGGCAATGGCATACGCAATGCAATGGCATGGAAATAATATGCAAACATGCCAATGGGATTTCAGCATAGAAATCGGTGTCGTGCCGGGCATTAAGTCAATAGAGAACTCGATCTCTTGATATGGTGGCAAACTCACAAGATCCTCGGGAAAAACGTCTGAGTACTCACAAACCACCCTCGGCAATACAATCTTGGTCTCATCACACTCACCACCCATAAAGCTAGCAAGTAGACCACTAAGCTTATTCCGCCCTCGCGGATCATACATCGGCGGCAACACACTACCAACCCGATCCCCCAAGAAATGGAAACACTCCCCGCTCAAGGTACAAACTGTGACCCTCTGGAGGTAGCAATCGATAAGAGCCCGGTATGATGATAGCCAGTCCATACCCAAAATAACATCAAAACCCTTCATGGCATGACCACAAATGGAAAAGGAAGCCTATGGTCGGCGACCTCTATATCACAACCTCTAACACCTTGTTTCAAGATCAACTCACCACCATTAGGTGATACCACACATATAGGAGATGCTAACTGTGCCAACTCTAATTTCAAAACAGATGCAAATGCAGCAGATACAAAAGAATGAGATGCACCCGTATCAATCAATACACTAGCAATCGAGTTGCAAAATAAGAAGGTACCTCACACAACTGATGGAGCCGGTACTAGATCCTGTGCGGTAACAGCATACACGCGCCCTGTAGGCCCCTGATCTACCTGCTCACCTCTAGGAGCAAAAGACTGCTGCACTGACTGGGATGATGAAGCTCCCGGATTGGCCCTCGAGGCCTGCACAGACTAAGCTGGCTGATAACTCTGCGTCTGCCTAGAACCAGACACTCCTGAAGTGGCACTCAACTGTGGGCAAAACCTCTTCAGGTGCCCAAGCTGACTACACTGATAACAAGACAAAGGCTGGCCCTTGCCCTGACTCTGGCCCTGAGGTCTAGCTGAAGAAAAAGCAGCTCGCTGACCCCCTCCCTTCTGCGGGCAAACCGAAGACATATGACCTAGCTAGCCACATGCAAAACAAGTCAAGCCTCCCTGACTACCTCTCCCAGAGCCCGCACTCGGCACTGGAAAGGTCGATCTAGCCAAACCACCCTGAGACTGCTGAGGGTTAGAACCCCTCTGTCTCCTGCCGTCACCCTGACCATCTTGGCTTCTCTTGGAGCCTCTCTGCCCCTCGTCTTCCTCCTGCATCATAATCTCCATATGAGCAGCAGCATCAACCAAACGTCTGTACTCTCGGATAAAGGACCCTCCAACCCTCAACTTGAGTCCACGCCTCAACTTCCGCTCAAACTCAAAACAATGGCGTTCCTCGGACGCCACCAGTTCAGGTGCAAACCTGGACAGACTAGTAAAAGTAGCCTCAAACTCGGCCACTAACAAGCCCTGCTGTCTAAGCTGGTAAAACTGCTCTCTCAGCTTCTCCCTAGCAGCTGAAGATAAAAACTTCTCCTAGAAAGCGTTCACAAACGCCTCCCATGCACCACCAACACTGCCCTTCTCGTACTTCCACCATTGACCCGCATCTCCCTTCAGCTGGAAGGATGCCAAGGTCACCTTTAAAGCCCCGTCCTCGACGCCAAGCATCTCGAACGTCATCTCCATCTGTTCCAACCACTCGTCACCCTTAAGTGGCTCCTTCAGATCCCCAACAAACTCGTCCGGATTGGACTGGAAG